GTAAGTAATATGATAGTGTATACTTAATCTAAGTTTTCTATTTTTTTTCTGAGGGTTTTGACCCATTTTTTTTTAAAAAAAATCTACTTGACTGGTTAGTCCGGTTAACCACTCCGGTTAGTCCTGTTCCAGTTCGAACCGCTCCTAGCCCCATGACCGATTAACCGTTCTGGTTCGATTTTGCAAACACTGGTCTATAGTGAATAATACTTGGAATAAGAAGTATACTCCATCCCTAAAATCATAATACCAAATAACTCAAGGTCTATGGGGAATCTATAGACCCCTTCAGGTTAGAAGAAAACGACATTAATCCTCTATTTACCTTTTTTTTATTGTTTGAATTATAGCATTTACGGATTACCATCTTTTTTTTTTCTCTAATAGCGTTAATATATAAGTGGAACTTGAGATGGCTCCTTTAACCCAACTTGAGGTTCAAGAGATGAGAGAGAAACGAGAGTTAAGGCGAGACTGTGAGAAAGAGAAAATGAGGAAGAGGTTTACAGGTGAGAAAGAACAAGAAAAAAAAAGGGGGAAATTCTCAAAGGCTTTGATGAACGGTTATTACAAAAAGTTAACAGGATAAATACAGCAATTTAGCCATGAAAAAGTTATAGAAAGCGCTGACTGCCCTTTTCCTGTTAACTTAGGAGGGGGCCATGCTCTTCATATGCTAAGGTGGTCATAAACATATAATTCATAGGAATCGGGCGAGGATCTCTAAGCACGCTGGGAACCAGATCAATTTCCAGTATTGACAAGGACCTAGGCTGGATCAGTGATTCTTGAAACACTGAATGATACATTTGTTTAGTTGGGCGAGAGATCCACCATTATTCGTCTTAAAGTTTTTAATTCATTTTAATGATGGAGTAATTCTTGAAAACAGAAAATGGGATATGGAGTTCTCGAATAACTTTATCTAGCAGTTGAAAAAATTTAATGTTTGTGTTCAATTCAGTGTTGTGAAATTTGCTTCGTTTCCGTCAAAGAGATCACAACGATTTTAGGCCTAGATCGATGCGAAGCTTGGTACCGTCACTTCGATCAACTTCGGGCCGATTTGACCGAAGCTTCAGTCTCTTCAGTCGAAGCAAAGAAATATCTCTATTAAAGTATTTTTTTTATATATTTTTAAATTTTTTATAATATATATATATATATTATTTATTGGAAAGGCGTTAAGAATAGTAAAGTGTCCATAAGGAAGTAGTCGGATCCGGGAGATGTATAGTTAGAACTATAATGCCCTCCAATTGAGGCATCGTTGGGGATGTAGCTCACATGGTAGAGCGCTCGCTTTGCATGCGAGAGGTACGGGGTTCGATACCCCGCATCTCCAGAATGAGCCGACCGGACCGACAAGATTTTTGGACTTTTAGGGTTTCTATAAAGACGCAACCTTATGCGACATTAATCCCGACTTTTTTGGAGGGACTTTTTTGGAGGGTGCGGTTTCTATAAGGATGCACCTTACGTATCATTAATCCCAACTTTGGAGGGTGCGGTTTCTATAAAGATGCAACCTTATGTATGCAGCCTTGTGCCGACAGGGTTTTTGACTGATTTTTTTACTTTGGATGGTGCGTTTTTTATAAGGATGCAACCTTACGTATCATTAATCCCGGGTTTAGATGGTGCGTTTTTTATAAGGATGCAACCTTACGTATCATTAATCCCGGGTTTATATAAGGATGCAACCTTACGTATCATTAATCCCGGGTTTATATAAGGATGCAACCTTAGGTATCATTAATCCCGACTTTTGACTTTGGAAGGTGCGGTTTCTATAAGTATGCACCTTACGTATCATTAATCCCAACTTTGGAGGGTGCGGTTTCGATAAGGATGCAACCTTACGTATCATTAATCCCAACTTTGGAGGGTGCGGTTTTTATAAGGACGCAGCCTTTCTTACGTATCATTAATCCCGCATTCCTTATGTATCATTAATCCCGGTTTCTATATTGATGCAGCCTTACGTATCATTAATCCCTTGTGTCTCTTGTGCTGACAGGATTTTTTACTTTGGAGGGCGAGGATTATTTCTTTTCTTTTTCTATGAGGGTGCGATTTCTACAAGGATGCAACCTTACGTATCATTAGTCCCTTGTGTCTCTTTTGCCGACAAGATTTTTATCTTTGGAGGGTGAGGATTATTTCTTTTCTTTTTTTATAAGGGTGCAGTTACGATAAGGTTAGAACCTTTAACAATCCAATCAAGGGTCACCTTAAAAATTTATCATAACATGTAATTTTGTTATAAAAAATTCTTAGTATTATCTTAAGAGTAATGATCCTACGGGATCCTCCCTCACCCATGTGTGTAGGACCCCAAATGATCACCATTAAAGTTGGCATGGATCTCTATAAAAGGTATCACATTGGTGTGAGACTTGACTTTTCTATAGATCTGTGCCAACTTTAATGGTGATCCTTTGGGGTTCTATACACATGGGTGGGGGAAAGTCCTATAAGATCATTTCTCATATCTTAAAATCTATTTTCATATGTAATTAGAAAATTTTAAATTTCAAAAATATCCAAAATCAAGTAGATCTATAAATATATGAAAATCTTGAAAATGGACAGTCTATATAATGTGTTGCTATATGCACTATTTTCGGGACTCAATTTTTTTTTTTTTTTCATATTCATACATCCCAATGTCGAGATGATCAATTAGAGGGTGTTTTCAACATTAAAACCAATTTTTCGATAGATTTTTGAGGTCCATATGTGATTCTACATTTTAAGTATGCAACCTTATATAAACTTTTCTCTTTTTATAATCCCTAGGCCTTATAAAAACTATAAAAACTGCATCTTTTTTCAAAGGCAAATATTAATCTTTTGAGCAATGATCCAATGCATCGGTTGTATCATAGTATAATGCAACAATACTTCTAAAAAATCATGTTTGTGGCATTTATATGACCTAAAATTTTGCACACACACTCTCTTCATCTCAATAATCAATCCCCCCCCCAAAAAAAAGGTTCAATTTGGATCATAGATATAGTCAAAATGAGTCCCCTCTAAAAACAAATCTAGACTATTCATCTTGTGAATTTCAAGATCTTAGCCTTTATAAACTCAAAATCATTTTTTTTCCTTTTTAACATTGTTCAACTAGTGATAATAAAGCCATCCAAAAAAATTGGAAATGAAAAAATTCTTCTAATGCCTAGATCTAAGCATCTCACCAAAATGAACGGCCAGTATTAGTTGGGCTAAAAAAGTACTTTCTAGGTTGTGTTTTCAATTTTTTTTTTTTTTTGTTGATTTTTTATTAGAATAAAAAAAATGTATATTTCAAAATTTGTATCAAACAAATATCCATAAGATGGTTTTTTAAGGTTGTTGCATCATATTACTATACAACGGTTGCATGAAATCATTGCCCTAATCTTTTGAGCAATGCCTATGCCTTGTAAAAACTGCATCTTTTTTCAAAGGCAAATATTAAAATCTTTTTTCAAAGGCAAATATTAAAATAAGGCTAAGGGTTGCATAAAAAAATAAAGCCTCAACTCAAAACTCATAAAAAATTATAGATTTGTTGTTGAAAAACCTTCAAATCAATCATCTCAGCCTTGATCACTATGAGTGTGAAAAGAAAATAGGATTTCACGCTCTGATTTCGGGTTGAGGCCTTTTTTTTTTTTTTCATATGGCTTAGGCCTCATAAAAATTGCATATTTTTCTAGAGAAAAATATTAAAATCATAAAAATTGCATATTTTTCTAGAGAAAAATATTAAAATAAGGTACTTTATGGAAAAATAAATAAAGCTTCAACTCTACCAAAAAGTATAGTTTTATTATTGAAAAACCTTCAGATTAATCATCTTGACCTTGATTATCATGGTTGCAAAAACAAAACAAGGATTGCAAGCCCTAAAAGTAATGTAAATCGTAAGAAGCTGCATGGACAACCCATTCCCAATTGTTCATGGATTCACGAGATCTGCTATATTTTAAGCTGCAAATTTCATCCTCAAAAATAGATTATAGAGCCATTATAGGGATTTCCACGGCCCAAAGTGTTTCCAGACAAGATTTGAAAGTGAGACTTCATTTTCTTTTTTCATAAGTCCTAGACTTATTGAAACTGCATCCTTTGCCAAAACACGAGGCTCTGTAACGAGTGTTTGTGAGCGAGATATTCTCTGTAACGAGCGTTTGCGAGAGAGGGAGAGAGAAGGGAGGGAAGTGGTTGCATGATTATGGTTTGGTTGCAAGAGAATTGCCCGACAAGAATGAGTGAATAAGCGCGAGTGCTTCACCGGGCTTATTAAGCGGCACCAAATGACCCGCCCCTCTCACCGTCACAAACGTGAGCCCCTCGAATTCCACAATTCTTCCACCCACCTGCATCCATATCAATACTCTTAAGCTCGCTCCTTTTATGGGTGCAACCAACGGGTCAGTCCGACCCGACCTGATTCAAAATTAAAATATTTATATATTTAAATATATTTCATATTAGGATTCGAAAATATTACCAATGCATGTGACCGGACCGGGATTCAGACTTAGACTCAAATAGTATTCGGCTCTAAAATTTAAAATTGGACCTGACCCACCCGCCGGGTCCCATTTTTGAACCCATACCAAGACCATGATCCGATCTGACTCCTTTCCTCTTCACTTTACAACTATTATTTTTAAAAGAAACTAAAAGCTAGTGAACCTTGCGAGAAGAGATGATTAGGTTGATCCGCCAAGTGAGAGGGACGAGCTCATCCTAGCAGCGTTTAAAATACCGGATTCTTGAATGTTAAAAAAAAAAAAACAAATAAAATAAAATTTAAGAGCTAGGAGTAAGTCTTGGATTGGTCCTTTGGTGACCCGATCTCAATCCAGATTTGGCCAATTCTCAAAGGTCAAAAAATCATAAATAAGGTTTTGACAAGTCCATCGGCAAAATGTGATAATCATAACCTTGTTGGATGATTTATATGGAAAATAAATCAAAGAAGAATGTTTTAACTGAAAAATTACCTGATTGTTGTGGTACCAGGTGCGCCATGGTGTCTTAAGAGAGAGGGCCATGGACTCTAACCAGTATCTCGTCCCGATCACTGGCACTCGACCGTCAATATCCCCGCTGCCCAGACACAAATGTAATTAAATTATTTATTTAGGCATAAAAGTTCCAATAGTTTTCTTTTTATCAAATAAAATGGACCTGCATTAGCTTTGAACCTCTCCTTCTTAGAGTTGCAGCTATAGTCGTTTGATTTTGCATCGAATAGTTAAATTTAATTGTGATATCTTTCTATCAAAGGAAAATTGTTTCATATAACGGGGATCGCATTTCTACTTTTACGGTCCCCAAGCTATAAAGAATCCATCTTAATGATGGATGCAAATAGGTGGTCCATCTAAAAACAATTGAAATTAAGGGTTCAAATATTTTTTTAATAGAATTATTATTTGTAATTTTTAAAATTTATTTAGTTATTTATATTCATGATCCCGATGTTAAAGATTACATATCTTTAAAAAATAGGTCAAAAAATCCATCTCAAAAATAGAAACCGTGTCTTTTATCAAAAGCAAATAGTCTTAATTGTATACTCCAGTTTAAGAAAGGGAAAATATTTCCATACCTTTTATTTTTAAGTTTCATTTCACAATAGACCCAAAATTTTAAAAGATATTTTGGGGTAAAAAAATTGTAGATTTTATTTTTTCTAACCCTCTTGAGTTAATTTAAACTTGTTTTATTTATTTTTTGCTTCATTTCACAATAGACCCAAGGTTTTAAAAGATATTTTGAGACATAAATATTGTAGATTTTATTTCTTCTAACTTTCTGAGTTAATTTAAACTTGTTTTTTTAAGCGAAACAATTCTAAAAGACTTGTTTTTTCTAAAAGCCATCATCCCAAACTTCTAGAGAGAGACAGAAAGGCTTCATTGAGGTGAGAAATTACCGGGAGGGGAGAGAGGTTTTTGGAAAAACACAAGAGGAGAGAGAGAGTGAGAGACACAGGAAGAGAGCTATATAAGTGAAGAAAGAGAAATGATTGGGTTTAAAAAGAACATATCTTTCTCACATTTGTTTAGGTTAAAAAATAGGTTTAAAGTGCCAAGGGGTTAGAAGATATCTTTTGAAGCCTTAAGTTTATCAAGAAATGAAACCTAAAAATTGAATATATGGAGATATTTTTCCTTTAAAAAAAAAAGTCAAGCCGCCATTTAAATGGATCACATATATACTCAATATGGGCGGGTAGAGTTTATATAATAAACATTTCCTAATATCGCCAACGCCAAATATTGGCAAATTTGAGGTTTATAATGGTTGTTATTATCAGCATAACGCCGATATGTTTGTTGAAATTTGAGAACAAGAGGCGATATAAACCCCCTTATATACATATTTCTCAAGACATCACCCATCGTATAAATTTATTGCATGGATATATTAGTAAATAAAAATTAACACTACCATTGTCTCACTTATAACGTCTACCATCATTGCTATTTTTCCAAATACGGCCCCCTTTTTATGGGGCTCCCACTGCAACAAATCTTTAATGCCAATTTTGAGATTATTATTTCCTTTACATGTGAGATAGGGTTGACAATTTACTCGATCTGGATTTGAAATTCAAATTTTGAATTCTATTCCGATCATGGATCTAAAATTTGGATCCAAATCCAAATTTTAGATTTTAATAGTAATTTGGATCGGATTCAGATACAGGGGGATCAATTACAGATCTAGCCCAATTTTTAAAATAGTATATATTATATGGATCTGAATATTTTGAATCTGATCAGATCTGGATTTATATCCGGATTCCATATATACTTTTTTTGGATCCAGATCTGATCTATGTGTAACTGAATCCAATTACAAAAATTCTGAGCCCTAATGTGAGAGAGAAACATCTCCATGTCCATTAATATAGCAAATAGGGCCAATTTGGTTGGTTCCCTGTATATGGTTTCTATTTTCAGGCGAAACATTTGATTGATTTAGGAAACTCAAAACACTTGATGATTGGAAGTACCTGTAAACCCATATTTTGAGGCCGGCTTTGATCAGCTTGGTATAGATGGGTAGAACAGTAAGCACCACATAGTTGTACGCTTCAAATATCGAGTTGCTATAATGACCAAACTAACGGAATTAATTAGAAAATAGAAAGAGGATGTATATTTTTAGCACTATGATTGTTGCAATGAACCGAAATAAGTTAAACAAAAAATATTGTATACTATGAGACCATTTATTTTTGTTTCAAGTAAGTCACAATTGCTCCTAGTCATTACATGTTAAATTGGACGACTTGGGGTGTATCACAAAGTTTGAGAAAAAAAATTTGAACTTCAAATCTAGTGGGTGACATGCTCATAACCACTTGATTTGAAATTTGATTGACAATAGTGATTGTGACCTTCTTGTATTAGAAGTAATTGGTCTCTTTGATATTTTTTCTTAAACAAAAAATATAA